CACTATGTTTTATTCTTAGCCAATCCCACATAATCTGTCCTGTTGTTGTAAATACTCTCTAGTAGTGCATCAAATATGTATTACTTCCTAGCTGATTAAACTACAGTTCTACAGTGAGCCTTTTTAATAATAAAACAGTATATTTGTGCCTCGTGTTTTTATTTATTTACATCTTCAGGACTTCCTGTCACTCTTGTCAGCTGCTACTATCTAATAAAGGCAATGAAAGCCCAAAAACAGAACATTTACATTGTCAGTAGGAAGACAGGGTAGGACAGTTAAAAAGTATTTTCAGTTGGACTAAAATGTTGTTGCTTGTCGTGTTGTCATGGGATTTGCTGACTTTGAGAAAAAAATAGAATAACAGCCTTATCGTTTTAACGATTGACAGCAACAAGCAATCATTTTTAAGCAGGAAAAAAGGCTTTATTTGTTTATTTTTTGTTCCCAACAATGTAGCTCACACATGCAATGCTTTATGGCATCAATACCCACACCTCCATTACCTGCAACAACAACATAATCCTGACCCTAAAAACAACATTAAAAACTGGAGCAGATCATGATGGATTACCTACTGTATCTGAAGGCAGGTTTCAGCTCCTCCAGTTGATGGACTGTACTGCAGAAACCGAAGCCTGCTGATGGTCTGAAAGGTAAAACAACAACAAAAGCTCGCTCTGTGGTCAGTGACGTGAGGTGCTACGATTTGTAAAACCACCAAAATGGTACTGGCTGTAGCCCATAATATCATCTTTAATCTCAATCAGGGACAAACAGAGGTTCATTTGCAGTAGAATAAACTTGTTAGTTTCACATGGGAAGTTGATCTGAACAGTAATCACTTTTCTCCCGCCTCCACTGTGTCCATTGAGGTGACCGAATTGTTCCGTGTTTCTGAAAACTGTTATTCTGAAGACTTTGGATCTGCTTTGTTTGGGGAGGTGGTTATCATAGGTGGTGTCTCCATCTGAAAATCCTCTTTAATGAGGTTAGAAATCTTCATTTGTTTCCCCCCGCCCCCACCCTACAAAAATAAAACTGTATTAAACTGGAGTGGAGCTTTCTGCTCGCCTCTGTGAACCGCAGTCTTCAGTAATTGCATCTCATGGGATTTAAGCTTCATTTGTTGTCCAGTGAGGAGACAGAATCTCCAGCAGAATACGTAAAACAAATTGGGTGCGTCTTTAGAAAAACTGCCATTTTTCACTTTTTATACACTGTGCACTCAATTCAACAAATCCTCTTGATCAATAGCTCAAACAAAGCTCTACAAATGTTTTGTTGTTATTGTTTTATTCTATTACATATTTGCATTTTAGAGAGAGAGACAACTGACCCTTTGTTAGCTGAATGTGTCATTTAGTTGCTGATTAACTAGAAGAAACATACATTTATGGTCAAAAGACAATAAGTGAGCAGTGAGTCTCTGAACTGCTTTGTGTTGAGAAACAATATCCCTCCTCCTCTACTGGGTCAAGATTTGATAGTCCAAATTTGCATATTAATTTTCCTTGATGCTGTTCTCTTATATGTGTGGCACCAACTGATAAGAACGTCTTGGTGACAGCCTGTGTATCCAACACAGTGTGACTAGAGGAGATAGCAAAAATCAGTGTGCACAGCTGGGATTCTTCCGCTGGCCAAACGCTGTAATTAAAATTACACTTCCTCCCTCTCACTATAGTACAGTACGAGATCATGTTCATCATATCAAGCCTATTAAGATTGCTTTCTGTTCATTTTTAATCTATAGGTAGAATCTAATCACATGCAAGTGAAGCATCAGTATGTCAGAAGATTCAAGAGATTACTGGATATATGAAAGTTATCAGTCAGCAGCTATGGTGAGAGAAAAAGATTACTTCTGGCTCCAAAGTGGCAGATTATTTTTGAAAATGTACAACACTGTTTTCACACTTTTTTTGTCGCAGTAAAGGTTACTCTATGTGGTAGTACACCATACATCACTCAAAGTTTTAAAAAAAAATGTACAAGAGAGATTTTAGAAGTTTCAAGAGTCAAATATTAGAACTGAACCTTTGGATAGATTCTGCTAATATTAAATCTGCACTACTCAATATATGAGATATAGTAGAGTAGAATACACGTGAACTTTATTAAAGCTTGGGCCTAATTTCTTATAGTTTTGGCCATGTAATAGTAATTTTGTATTTAAAGAATACTGAATACTGGTTTGATTACTGTGTTACTGTCTATAACGGATCTAGTATTCCACCACCTAAAACATACAATGCTTATAATAAATTCAGTCTGGTTAGATGGTAGAATATTTCCAATGATGCCATACACGACAGACTTGTAACACAGATCATAAGTCCAAACTATTTCAACCCTTTCCAGACTTCCTGAGCTCTGTAGCAATCCATTAAAAGATGCTATTATGTCTCATCATCATTGCAGTTAATCATTGCACATCTTCCTTTTTTCCTTTCGTTTTCCATTTCCATTTATCATCTAAGCTAAAGAAGGTTATATGACACCAGTGGTTCAGAGTTTTTGAAAGATTTACGTCTTGTATTAGGAATGCATGAAGACCAAAAGAAGCAATGTATTAAACCACAATGATATTATGTATATTAACATGTGTGAGAGAAATCATCTTTAATCTAATAAAACATAATTTTAAACAAATACAGATCAGGGTACATATGTGACCTTTAAAATGCTCTAAATGTGCTCATCCGCACAGTTAGCATCGCAAAATATTAATAGAAATCCAGAGTAATGAGAAAGAGAGAGTGCCAGAGAACTGCATGTTGCGACAGAAGATTAATGAGACCCTAACAGAATTGGATTTGAATATCAATGCTGGCCTATTGCTTAAACTGACATTAATTGCCACCTATTAGATTGGCTGTGCACCCCTGTATTTCACAACAATCAGCACCATTGAGAGATTAGAAGAGAGAAAGGTTGGAGGCCAAGTGAGTGCTCAGAGCTGTATCATTTGTCAGGTGGTGCCGTGTGGCAGGTTTCACAATTACTAGTGTGTGTGAGACAGAGAAAAAGCAAACAGAATTGATTAACCAACAGAACCCACTACTGGCCCCTATAGGCTGAAATGTTAATGGCAGCTCACAGTATAAAGCTGTTGGACAAACTTAATTTAAGGTCCACTTAATTAAGTCTCCATGATTCTGAGTACCTGTAGGACTATTAACATGACTAACTATCATATCAAGTTGTTGTGGTTCTTATTTTGAAAGAATACATTTTAAGTAAATCTCGCCCAGTGTGAAAGCCTTAGCATTTGAGAGCATGTATAATTTGTATAAGGATTTCTTGCAGTGATATGCAAGAATATCATCTGATGTCATGAGAAGGACACAAGTTTAACTTTTTATAATGTATTTCTGAGTACTATTTGTAACATTTTGATGTTTAGATAATGCTATATGCAATATTATTTTTATCTGTACACTAACCAGCGATCACCAGTAATATTCTGGGTTCTGTTCATTGACAATCTTTGCATTTTTTTTAACTTCTCTCTTTCTATAGTATCTGTCAACTCACAACCCTGACCTCTTCCTCACTTTCCACTTCACTACATTCTGTAAGGGGAACTGTAGCCACAACCTGTAGGGCAAGGGTCCCATGACTGACAGGGGTAGTCAAGCTAGCACTACCTCTAGCAAGCTGATCTGCTAGCCTATGCTCTAATATTACAATGATGACTCAATAGACCACTCTAAGTTATCATTGTTCCTGATGGGTATTTAAATGTTAAAATTGACATTACAATAGGATTTGATTATTAATAATGACGTTTGTTGTCATGAAATTCTTTTTTTTTCTCGAGAATCAGACTTGCACATTAAAAAATGTGACGGAGAATTCTGTAAATGTCTAACTTTGGTACAGAAATAATACATAAATTATAGGGGGTCATTAATTATGGTTAAATGCTGTTAAATACTTGGATTAGTTTGTAAGAATATTCATGCAGTTTAGTAAGTTGGTAGTGAGGTTGGCTTGTTCACAGACGTAAAAGAGGCAGCAGGTTAATTGACAAGCTTTATCATGTTTCTCCCTGTGATGTACAGTCTTACTTACTTATTCGTGTTCAATTTTCAGTGGTCTCCATCAGTCATGTGACTCTAACCTTGCAGGTCATAGTAGTTTGTTGAGAAAAATTATGAGGTGCTAAATCATCAAATATGGACATAATTCCCAGGGATAGAGGTTTATCCGCTTGGGAGCATGAATGTGTTCCGCTGATTCATTCATGCTGTTCAAAATGGAAATAGTTCATCCTCTAAAGAGCACATTCAATCGGTCTCATTAGTTCCATTTGCACAAGTAAAGATTTTAGCCTGATGATGCTAGACGAGAGGTCTGGGCCACCAAAAATCATTAGGAATAATCCTCGGGGCACCATGAATGTCTGTGCCAAATTGCAAGACAATGTGGACAATAGTTGTCAGGATAAAAGTGGGCAGACAGAAAGACAGATGAGCCAACCAGCAGACATCACCATCATTAGGGCGCCGCTGTTAGTGGGGCTAAAATGTCACTCCAGCAGAGTCATTTTGCATTTCTTTGACAGTAATCACTGAAAATAGAACGAGTGTTTCATTTGTCTTTCGCTCTCTCTCCCTCTTTATTTTTCTCTCTCCATTCCCCCCTCCTTCTATTTCTCTTTCTTTTACTCCCAGAGTAATTGATATGATATGAGCACTGGCAAGTGTAATCTTCTTTTAATTAAGACCTGCTGCTGGCACCGGCTTCAGACTGATAGTGACTTAGGGCTCTCTTCCTCTCATTTTTCTTCCCCTCTTCTATCATCTTATTTTTCTTCTCTTGCTCCTCCAACTTCAGCTCCCTCATCTTTCTCTTGTTATCTCAACAACTCTTTCCTTTAACCCTTTACTTCCTGTCCCTCTTCTTATCATCTACTCGGTCTACCTCTGACATCCTTTGTTTTCATTTTTCCTCCCTTTGTCTTTTCTCCACTGTGAAATCTTTCGCTGCAGTCGCACCACCATGAAGAGGAAAAGAGAGCCCTCAGCCGGGAAATCATCGTCCTCAACAACCACCTCATGGAGGCGAAGATCACCATCAATAAACTTAGAGAGGACAACGTGAGTACCCAGGGCTGCATCATGTGGGCTCCCGCTTGTACAATGAACATTTTTGTGTGATGACACTCCAGTTGAGGACATGCACAAATTATATTTCACCTGCAGGCCCACGAATTAAGCAGTAGGGCATTTGAGGCCACGGCTTTCCTTGCCTGGTCAGTAATCCAGCCTTATTAGCACCAAAACAACAGCTGGCTTGGGAGACTGAAGTGACAACACTTCAAAAAGCAGTTTTTCCTGATGGAAGCACTTTCACTGTCACATCGTCAGCCTTCTCTGTGAACCCACTATTGCTAAAAGTCGCATATCCACTATATTTCTGCAACATCCTGGATGTTTGTGCTTCAAGGAGCCACAGCAGATAGAGGAATTAACTCTAAGCCACTGGGTGTTTTATAGTGATTATACTGAAATCAATGGGCATCCTCAGGGCTGCCAGAATTTGGAGCCAGGACTGCATGGATCTGAGCTCAGGGGCATGTGGCAATCTGGTGCCTCACTTTCTTTGAAGTGATTTTACTGGTATTTCTACTGGGGGTTAGGTTAGATTTTTTTTCCCCCTCTTTGGTCTATGGCAGTTTTTAGCACTTCTAAGCTATAGAGTATTTTGACAATCCCCTCAGATCCAGCCAGGCTGATTGGAGTCAAGGTTCATTTTGAACAGGAGGAGAATTTGTCCCATCAGAGCCAGCAGCGTGGCGGGGATTTCCTCCAGAGAATAAACTTTGAATTTACTCCTTATAACATGGGATGAAGTAAATAACCTTTCAAATGTGCCTTGCCTGAGACCTGCCAGAAAAAGAAAAACATAATATTGAATTACATGTCTTACATTGGTATTACTCTCTACTAAATCTACAACAGGTTTATTTCCTTAGAGAAATGATTAATGGCCCTACCAGGCACAGACCCAGGGAGCCCCAGGGCCAGAGTCTGTGTTCGAGGTGACAACATTATTTGTTGGAAAGTCAATCAAACGACCACAAAGAGACACAAAACCGAGATGCCAAATGACAAAGATGCGAAATGATCACAGAGAAATGCAAAATGACCTCAAAGAGAAGTAAAACAACCATAAAGAGACACAAAATGCCTTAAAAGAGAAGCAAAACAATCATGAACCAATGCAAAACGACTATAAACACACCATGAACACATGAAGATGCAAAGTGACCACATAGAGATGAAAAAACAACTAGCCTTGTCGTTTGTAGACGTTTTGTGTCTCTCTCAGTCTGAGTATTGCTCCTAAGTAACAGACATACATTTCTCTGCCAAAGGGACCATTGTCTCATTAACATTAACATTAACATTACTAGTTATTAGATTGCATGAGTACCGGCTTTATACAAAGTCACAAGAAATTAAACTATGGTCAGAGGTGAGACTATGTGACCCCCCCCCCTTCATTTGTAATACATACATGTATGCCTAAACCTCATCATAAGACCTCCCAAAAAACTGGCTTGCCACCCGCTGAAATTCCAAACACAGCACACAACTCATGTTAACTAAGACACAAAGGTCTCAAGGGTCTATTTGAACTGTCCACAAAAACTACAGGGAGCCCAAATGTCCCCAGACGACAAAATGAAAAGAAATACAGTGATTTAAGTCACGGCTAACTGATGGGGGAGTTGAATATGTCAAATAAAAGGCTTTGATGTAATGGGAAGTATTGTCAGAGCGGTGGTGTGATGGAGGCACGGGGAGGCTACAGTGCAGCCAAAACTGACCTTTATGATTTCACAGAGGAAGGAGAGGAAACGAGTGAGCTAAACCAGCTAAACACCCACACAAAACACATCAGAAGGAAACACAGAAACACAGCAAACAATTAAACCAAGCATCTGCTGTGCCAGTAGACCCCCCTTACTCTGCTCTGAAATTTAAGTAAAAATCTGAACAACCATCCATTATAGAAACAAAGCACAGAGAAATAGTAATGCTGCACTAGTTTTTCCTAGGCTGGAATGTGAAGATAAGTGAATGCACTGTTTCAGACAAGTCTAATAAAATTAGCACAGACTGTACTGGGCAGATACAAGATTGCAAATGAAAACTACAACCTAGTGAAATAATATAGCCAAGGTGAAAAATACCTGCTAACTAATTAAACTGTACCAGCTTCAATGGATGAATTTGTTCCTTTGATTTGACGGGTCACTAAATCAATGAATTTCCTAATCCAGTAAGCGACTTATTGTAATTTTTCAATGGAATACGGCTTGTTATTTATACTACATTATCTATACCATGCTATAAAATTCTCATTATTGAAGAATTGTTACCCCAGTCGTGCCAGACTTCTTGTTTTGTTTCCCATGAAATCCACAATTAATTCATAAACACCTCATAAATAGTAAACTGATACATTATATTGTTAGATTTGTTGTTGCCACACTACCAAGGTAACATTGCATTACTCTATAATTCTTTCCACAAGAAGTCCCCTATAATTACAAAATAATTAAACCACAATTAAAAGACTGTTATCTAAAATTATTTTTCCCAGAGGGTGTTCGAACATAATCCCGCTCGGTCAAAAGCTTACTTAAATCATCAGGCTGCCAAAATGAACAAGATTTTAAAACATGAATTTAGTGATTGAGGATAATATTTCTGCCTCTTACAGGACCTGTACAGGAAAGACTGCAACCTGGCCGCACAGCTGCTGCAGTGCTCCAAGTCTCACTACAGAGTACACAAGATGTCTGAGGTGAGCTCCCCAACACTGCAGCTACGACTGCTGCTACGACTGCATTAATGTGTCCATTTATGAAATAAATACCTAATTGCATAAGTATAATAATGATACAAATTATACATTTGGTTAAATTAAATTCCAGATAAGACTATATATGCGTTTTACTTCCTCCATAACAGCAAAAGGCTGAAAATTGTCAAAACTGAGCAGCTTGATCAGGGCTGTAGCTAGTATTAAAGGTCCAGTGTGTAACTTTTAGGAGGATCCACTGGCTGAAATGGAATATAATATTCATAGGTATGTTTTCATTAGCATTTCACCTGAATATAGGAGTCATTGTGTTTTTGTTACCTTAGAATCAGCTGTTTTTATGTACAGACACTGCGGGTCGCCTTCCATGGAGTCTGTCATGTTTCTACAGTAGCCCAGAAGAGACAAACCAAACACTGGCTCCAGATATGGGGGGTCTACATTTTCTGCATGTTTTGTGGCCACTGTGGTTTCTCCTTTGTGCTTGAAAGGGGAGGGTGAAACGAGGAAGTAGAGTTCTGCAATACACACTGGATCTTTAAGGACACTGAGGTCATAATGTTTGTGTTTTATATGGGAATTCAGGGGTTTTAGCAACCTGTGAGGTGGTAACAGTCTAAATGTAAAACTTACATTTTCTCATGATGGATATGTTATAGGCTGATTCCAGTATGTTTAGACTGGATATATTGAAATTGGACTACTTTTGAGCCCACAAAAAGTATAGAACTGGGACTGACGTAAGACATTAGTGCCTATGTGATACCTTATTTTGGGGAATATAAACATGTTTTGTTTTCATGTAAGACATGAAGAGTATATCAAACTCTTCATCGCACTGGTTAAATACAAATAAATAAAATATAATTACGCTAGAAAGGTGAATATCTTATGTAACTGGGTGTATTAAGGTTCAATGAAGCATTTCTCCACTAGAATTTTATTCCTGGCTGTTTAGGGTTTTAAATAGTCAGGACCCTCATGCTGGGAAATCTACTTTACAAAAATTGTAACTTAAGTTTTACTGTAACTGAATACATAAAACAAATCCAGATAATATTTGTTTTTGTGTGGTGGGGTGCATTGCGGGGTACATGGACTTGTGACCTCAGTATTATTAAAATCCTGCTTATAGCCCTGGGCTTGATGGATAAAATACATCTTGACTGAACTTACGCTAATGCTACTAACAAACTATTCTAGGTGCATTGTTTCTGTAACGGAGAGAGCTTCTGCATGTTGTGTTGGCTTACCATTAAAAGCTTTGGTGAATGGTTTTCACAAAAAAAACACAGTTACAATGCTCATGGCCTCAGACTGATGACGGTGTGCTGTATGAAGTACCATCTTTCTGCATCCCGGTTGTGTATAAAGAATGAATGAATGAAACAAAGCCTGGCCTTAGAGCACACCTGATGCACAAAAGAATTACAGTTTTACTTTACAGCAGTGCTCATAATTGAGTAATTCTCAAATTGGGAAAGACCTGCCCTACTCACCCTATGTACATTTTCCACTGTTAAGACTGTAAAATGCATGCATGAAAATAGATAGATGTCATAACAGCTGATTAAGAGTCAATTATTATTAAAAAGTCTTATTGCACTGGAAAGCTTTACAGACAACTGTAACTAAGGGTGGCGAGGCTCAGCAAATGGGCAGTTGAGAAGGAGTGACTTTTATGACGTTACATTATCTCACTTTAAATGTAGAAAAAGGTTATAAAAGGGGGAAATGTAAATTCTCTTCCAAATGTGGCGTATTTTGAGGAAATAGCTTTCACAGAATGGCTGCGAATTGCTGTAATGACTAAAATAATAAATGCCGGTTCCATCATACACCATTAAACCACTTATCTCAATAAATGGAGCAAGACCTGTAGACGTGTCCGCTGTCACGTGGATTAAAACTGCAAAACTGCGTGACTGTTAATTAAGATTTGCCTCAGATAGCAGCTAATGCTGAGCTAGCTTACTTAGAGCACACACTGTATATTATCTTGTGCTTCCCCCCACAACCTCACCTACTTTCCATCTCTATTCCCTCTGGGAGAGGCAGCGGCTGCTAAAAATAGCTTGACTTAAAAGATGCAGGTTATTTTATGCCGAGGCGAGCTTCTATTTCTTAACAAAGCCAAGTCAGTATTTTATCTTTTTTTCTATTCCCAGCTGGAGACCCAGAGCACTGGTTTCATTTGAATCTAAGCCGTTCCCTGTGGAACTGATATGTGTTTGATGGTAGACAGAATAAAGAGACACTGAGTAAAAAGACAGAGAGAGAGAGGGAATGAGGGCTTTTTGGTGAAGAAGGCAGTGGAGAAAGATGAAAGGATAAAGAAAGAGAGGAAAAAAAGAGAGAACTCAATGGCAGGAACAGTTCCTACTGACCCTGACCAGCCTTAATAGGCACAAAGAACCAGTCTGTAATTGACAGGAACAGTTTTCTCAGAAAGAAGCCAATCAAACAGATTATGTGTCTGTCTGCCTGTGTTTGTAAGAGTGAGAGTGCAAGAAAGAGAGACAGAGAAACAGATGGGAGAGGAAGGGAGGGAGAGAGAGAAAGAGAGAGAGATTTTTAGATATTTATTCTATTAATTTATTATTTTTATGGAATGACAAAGTAGAGGTAAGTTAACAACAGAAATAAATATTTGTTAGAAATAAAAACATGGTTGTGTTGGGAGAAAAGGAAAGCCAACAAATAAATAAATAAAGCTTGTGTTTTCTGACAAGTTCATTAAAGGGGCCAAGTAGTGCAATTCCCCTGAGACACATGAAGTGGTCTGGACTGTGTGAGCTCTGCGAGAATGAATTACTTTCTAAACGAGAACTATAGATTAAAATCCTTAAGGAATGGCTTTAAAAATACATTCAGTGCAAACACAGAAAGCTTAGAATATGTTTGAGGAAGAGATTCAAGTTGATTGTATAAATAATTAAGAAACGGCTGTTGAGGAATCATTAATTTTTTAGGAGATCTTTTCTGGCTATATGTGAAGACCGGCTCAGCAGCTGTAAAAAAAACAAACAATAAAAACATCTATTGATGTAGGTTTTAGTTATTTTTCCCCCATCTTCAACACAATTCTTCTGTCTTCCTTGTCTTAGCTGCCGCTGGAGTTCCAGGAACGCATCAGTTCCCACATGGAGAAACATAATCGGGGTAGCGGAGCCACCATGGCAATGTGCCACTCCAATTACTCTGACGCAGTCCCCACAGCCGTAATCGCCAAAGTCCTGGAAAAGCCGGAACCAGGAAGCAGTTGCCCTGTAACACGCTCACCCAGCCCCCAGCCACAGGATGGAGATTTTCTTACAGGAACAGGGAGCACCGATCACCTGAACCGCCGCATTTCGTATAAGTCATCTGACCTGTACTGCAGCGATACGGCTCTCTACTGCCCTGAACGATGGCAAGATACAGAGCGCAGGCAGAGCGTTGACCTCCACGGCACCAGCCTGCTCCAGCTTCATGCCCAAAACTCCACTGACAGCAACCCAGATGAAGAGCCCTACAACTCTGGAAGTTTCTCCCACCATGAGCCTCCATCCTCCTTCCACCACCACGATGAGTTCGGCACTGGTAGCCTCCCTGCCTCCAGTTCCTACTCTAGCTTTAGCCTTGCATCGGACGAGAAGGGAGGAGTTAGTGGTGGTTGCGGGCGCACTGCAAGCAGCACCTTATCCTCTTCCCACCAGGGTCTCTATATGGACTGGCGAGATGGTGGCAGTGGGGACTATGGGCGCAAAAGCATGTCCTCTTATGATAAAGACAGCCCAAGCTTCCCCAAGTCCCTCAGCATCCAGCACATGGTGACCCCCAGGAGCCCACAAAAGGGCACCTCCCCAGCATATACAAGGACGGCTTCATGCTTCAGTGAACCATACCATTCCAGCACTCCCCGCCTTGCCTCCTCTCACAGCATGGGGTCCACAACTGGACTGGGCCAGGCTCGTGGAGGAGCTCTGGACAGCCGAGGTGACATCCAGGTCCCAGACGATGACCTAAGTAGCCGCTGGAGACAGCTCAGTGTGGAAGACATCAACACGTTCTCATCTTCTTACCGTGATATCACAGGGCGGGTGTCTCCGTACAGTTTCTCTGAGCGACACTTTGCCATGGGCCCCTCCAGTAAGGTCAAGGGGTCTCTCTACAGCAGCTTCCAAGAAGGAGATGACGTCTTCCATAGCCAAGTGCTGGACCAGTGTTTCGCTGTGGGTCCCCCTTCACCCAGCCGCAGTCCGAAACCTATGGAGCATCGTAAGCAGGAGAAAACCTCTGTGCTGTACAGAGCCAAGGCTGACAGTCAGGACTCTGAGTGCAGTCTGTTCCTCTCAGGGAGCTCTAAAGAGAAGGAGAGCATTGGGGGAGCAACAGCAGCAAGCAGCGCCAAGAAGGACTATGTAAATCTGAGCGCAGACAGCTCGGCTGAGTCCCTACACCAAAGCTCCCTCGAAGCCTCAAGTCTTCAACACTACCCCAGCCCCAGGCCAAGTGTCCGGCCTCGCCCAAGCTCTAGCTCCGCTGTCAGTGTCGGCCCTGCACTCCCAAAGAAGACTTCTCCAAGATACCAAAAATTTGGCAGCACGGGACTGACGAGGAAGGACAGTCTGACCAAGGCACAGCTATACGGTACACTGCTGAACTGAGCAGAAAGAGAGAGCTTTTCATTTTATGCATGATGATGATGATGATTCTTAACTTACTGTACTGTTTGTCTCAAAAGTTCCCTGCAGCAAACACATACTTGGTGTGATGGGGTATTAAGATGTTGTTGTTTTATGTATCTCTTAGCCAAGGCACGTTTCATGCAGTCTGCAACACTTTTTCTATTGTACGTCATGCAATGGTGTAGCTACCTGAGACCAGCTATTCATTATGTCTTTGTTTCAATGATAATGATGATAATTAAAGCCACCGGGATAAAACCACGTTGTCTAAGAACTACAACAGAGACCCGGCTACATGAACGTACTGCGCTATTTGCTCTTTTTTTTGGTGTTAAGTACTGTTAGTAAAACCAGCAAAAGACCATTAATTCCTGCTCTAATATATACAGTATAGATAATGGACTAAAGCGCTTGTAATGGAGTGACTTAATTACACTTGTTTGGGAGAGGGGAGTAGTGGACCCTGCTGACTGCAAGCTGTTAAAAAGATTTATTCATTCTCTATTTTCTCTTAAACAAGATGCATGCCTTATAATTCAAGAGACATTTCCACTTACTAAAAAGGATGTTTTAATAACGTTATTAATTGGCTAAATAAACAAAATTTTTGATTTAAATGCCATGTAATAACAACATTTAGACTCCAAACTGATGCTAGACTCATGTTAATTGGAAACTTAAAACTTAAAAATCCCAGATTTTGTTTGTTGGAATAATAGTTTTAAATATATATGTGT